TCCTAGCCTGTGGAACTCTTGGTACATACAGATGCCAGGCCTCACCTTGACCGGCGCTCTGTGAGCGGATCCATCGTCCCATCGTCAGCGTTAAAAACACAGAATCTCCCCAGGTGGTTGGATCAGCCCCTACGGGGCAGGCGGGTTAAACGTGCAGAGGACCGAGCCCTACCTTTACAAACTGCAGGTCTGAGGAAAAGCCCAGAAATCAGCGTATTTATATCGTCACATGATTCTTATGCAACTGATCCCTGAATCCTCGGGATACAGCTCCAGGAGCTGGACAGTCTTTCACAGTGAGGCTGGCCCACAATAGGGTATGTTTCTTTAAGAATAACATTATTTGCAAATAATGGTTAATATTTAAAAGTAGGAGTTTCTTTTCTTAAAGCTTTGAAATTTGGACCACAACCCCTTTGCCACAGAAGGATTAGGCAGGTGTTGGCAGACCCAGCTGCTGTGGTTCATGGAGCTGAAGGCAGCGATTTCTTCAGAGGTCTCTTAGAGAAATCTAGATGTGACGAGAAGATGAAGAGGGAAAAGGCTGTGCTCGCTTTCCACCCACCCAGTGTCACGTGGCAAATGCTTCTATGCTTAAACCTTTAGCAATTCTGGCAAAAATTGTGGTTTTGAAGAAGTCTTTGCTAGAGATATATATTGTTTTGGGACAGGAAAATAAACAGGACATATTGTGTAAGATTATTTGTAGAAAATACTTTAAAACTTTCCTCTTATATTGTGAGGTAGTCTATAAACATATGTAATATAACAAGCTCTTTAAAAAATAAATTACGGTGTAATTGTACCTTACCATAACTTACCACATTTCTGGCCCTTCATATTATTTTTATTTCTTCTCCCCAAATTAATTATATCATTTGAACAATTATAACCTCAAGAATCAAGAGTAGTAAAACATAACAATTTAAGTGCAAATGTCTAATATTGGGTGTAGATGGAATTACAGCTTAGCTCATCAATCTATTAGATATTGAACAAGTCTGTTAAAATTAAGTTTATTTTCTTAAGTATTTCATCTAGAAAATCCTGGGATTCTAAAGGCCATTGCAGTCATTCTTGGTTCTCATTTGATCACATGCTTCACTTCCTTGCTCAGAAACGTACTCAGTGCTGATTTGTATGATCTGACTTCCAGGCTGAGAGTATGCACTAAAAACTTCCTTTTGTAGCTGAAACTATGGCAAGGAACGCTGCTCAGTCCCTGGTTTGTTAAATGTGAAAAAAAAATTTAATCAAGAGCACCTTGACAATGAACTCTGGATTGTGAGTGCGATTTAGTGAAAATAGAAGCTTCCAGAGTGAGTGACCTCATACCCAATAAAACCAGCAGGTGGCGTACATATCACCTGGTTGGGAGGAGGGGGCAGGCCTTGACCAGGCTTCTGTCTAAACACAAGACGATTATTCTAATAAGGTGTTAATAGATGCTAATTAAAAGAGTTTCAGGGTTAAGTTTCAGACAGTTGAGATGAACATGTTTCTCCGCTGTAGGACTTAGAACCTTAACTGTTTCAATATGCATTGTTAATCTTTCAAAGGGGCCTAGATAGCGCATTTGCTAAACTTACTTGACCACACACTCCTTCTGTGGCGTGGGGAGCATCTCGGGGTATTGCTGTTCTATGGAACAGTCCACGACTGACAAGGCCAGCGGTCTCTAGCGCTAAGACAAGGGCTGGTCTGTCGTTTCTGGAGTTTACTAGATCTTGACTAGATCTCCAGCCCCAACCACTGACAGCCTGGCAAGAGGGTGGGTTGAGCACTATTATTTTTTTAAACTGAGAAGTAACATCAGTCAAGTATACAGGTACACTGATTACATGTGTGTACATCCATGTAATTACTGCCCAGAAGTATCACTCTGGTCCCTTTCCAGTCAAAACAGCACATAACACACACAGGGGTAACCACTATTTCTGTCATCCCAGACTAGATAGTCCAGGCTGTATTCTGCGGAGGCAGAAACTTCCCGATGCCATTCCAAGATAAAACCTAGGAGGAAAACAAATAAGACAAAGGCCAGGAAAAGCAGAATTCCCTTGAGAAGAAAGATCCCGTGCGAAGCTGAAGCTTCCATCTCGGCAAGAATCTGTCTCCTCCCATAAGGTGCCAAGTTCTGATGTTTGGGTAAGTGTGGCCAACAGCTGAATGAGCATACAGAACGTGTTATAGTTCGTAACTGTTCACGTCTGTCAGTTATAATAATATTAATTCTCAGTCCTTGATCTTGGAATGATTTCCTCATGCCTACCAACTGTGTAATTTGGAAACTTTTCGTTACTTATCAAAAACTGTGTGGCACATGGTCTAAAGGATGCAGGAAACAAGGAACCAGTTGCAAGGGGACTGATAGAAATAAAAGAGGGTAAACGTGCAAAGGAGCAGGAAAAGGAAATTGATAAAATTTGTGAGAAGGCCAAAAGGAAGGATATTTTTTCTTTTCTTTTTTGAAATTTATTATTTGGTTATTTTTACTATTTGAAATAAATGAGATTGATTTCAAGCAGTGTACACTGTGATCCCTCTTTTAATAAACCAGAGTGAGTTTTATAAGGGCAGAGCACACTTCATATCCTGTCCCTTCCTCACTCTCTGGTGGGTACTGGACATTATCTCCTCCAGGCAGAAAAGCCTGCAGTGGCCAGACCGCTCATGGTGGCTTCTGTCGCCCACGGCTAATTGCCTCTGATTGTCTCTGTAACGTCCTGAATCCCTCCTACAGAAACCCGACCTCCCAGACTTGTAAAATGTAGGGCCCTGGGTATAGTCAAAGCCCAACAGTGAATATCAACAGAAGCAGGGTACTTTGTCAAAAGAAACATAAGGGATCTCCTGTGTTCCTTTGGTTCCATGGGTTTTCATGGTCCTGAGGGAAAGGCAGAATTGGGATGTCAAAATATGTATTATTTGGGGTGGGGAGGAGTGGAATAAAATCTTTGTAGAATTTTATGTTAGACTCAGACGGGAGGTTGACCCTGGTTTCCTAGGGCTGCTGTAACCAAGTCCTGCAAACGGGGTGGCTTCAAACAACAGCAATGGACTGTATCGCCGTTCTGGAGCCTAGACGTCTGAAATCAGTGTCAGCAGGGCCCACGCTCCCTCTGGAATGTGGGGGAGTCCTTTCTCCCCTCTTTCCCGATTCCGGTGGTGTCCCGGCCACCTTTGGCGTTCTTTGGCTTGAAGCTGCATCACTGGTCAGTGATCATCATCAGTGTTCTCCATGTCTTTGTCTTCACATGACTGTCTCCTAAGGTCACCGGTCACGTTGGATCGGGGCGCATCCAACTCCAGCATGACCTCATCCTAGCTAATCACATCTGCAACAGTCTTACTGCCAAATAAGATCACATTCCGAGATGCTGGGGGTTAGGACTTCAATGTATCTTCTTGGGCGGACCTAATTCGGACCATAACAATGCTGCTGCTGCCCTGCAGCTCAGAGTAAAACGGTCTGTCTGCTATCATCCCAAGAGCCCCAAGGGACTGGAGCTGGTGGGAAGACAGTTTCTGGAACCAGCAACATCACTGGTTTTATCAAGGGGTGGTGTGATTTCTCAAGTTCTTATCCTAAATAAAGGTTCAGTGTGTGTAGCAGCTCTCTAATAAACAATGACATTTCTAGAATCAAACAGACTGATAACCTTCTAAGGAAGAGCAGGAACCACGTAAAAGATTATGGCCAACAGGCAGTGCGTTTTTCTTCAGAGCTGGTTTCTAATCCGTGTAACACAGAGATCACTGAGCAAAGAGTGAGGAGAGGTGGGTCTGGGTCCCAGTCACATTGGCTGCCTAAGCAAATCACTTCCCCCCTGAAACCCATTTATCTACCTAATAATTTGTTCTGTGGTGGATGTTTACATCACTGCCTGCCCGATCCGCGAACCTGAAGAAACGGTGCCTTACAAACTGTTCCTGCTAAAAAAGGAACCGTATTTATACTTTATCCACCCCTGAAACAGACTGAGGTGGGCAACCCACCCACAGATCTCCCTCAGTGACCTCTATTGACTCCGAAGATGAACAGGCTCATATTTCTGTCAGGAATTTGAAACTGGGAACCAAGAAACTATGATGTATTAAAGGGGAACCAGAGCTGTAAAATAGTGAGACATAATGGGAGCTAGAAAGGCTCTCATGACTTGTGGGTTTTGGTAGTATATTACCAATAATTAGGTCAATAATTAAACAACCCTTTCCATGAAGCTCACATTTTTTAGTGTAATAGCGATTTTCAATTGGTGTGCCACAAAAATTTTTAAAACGTGCAATACCTGACTATTCAGTCAGGGGCACTGACCTCTTTTCCCTTAGATTGTCAAATTAAAAAATGACAATAGCCAATACAACAGCCATCTGGTGTGAGTGAATCAAAATTATACCTATTATATTACGCGACAGAATTTTAGTTACTAGTTTATGTGTGCCGTGGGATGAAAAAGGTTGAAAATCACTGGTATAACATATCAACAACACGTATTTATTTACATCTCACCTTATTTCAAAACAGATTCAAGTGTTTGCAGTAGACATTTGTTTTGCGTGCCTGGCATCCTACTTTATTCTGTGACTAACAACCCACTTATTTTGGAGACGTGGTCTTCCAACTCCAAATGTTTCCAGGCCCCGCACCCCACCCACTGGCCATGGAGACAGACCTGTGACTTTCACAGGCGAATCTGAGTGCTTCCCGAGACTTTCAGGATTAAATCTGTGGAGACAGGGGAGTCCTTCCTTGGGACCTAAGTGCTGCTGGCTGCCCCACCTCCAACTGCGCGGAGGAAGCCGGGAGCATGAAGTCAACACACAGGAAGAGATGAAACATGGAGAATCTTCACATCATTTGTGTCCCTGAGACTTGCTGCACCCCTCCTCTTCTCCCTGTATGAGTAGATGAGACAATAAACCCCTTTTTGTCCACACTAGTAGGTTTCTGTTATTTCTAGCCAAGAGCCCTGGCTACTATAGAAGCTGATATTAAGTTTTCTTTCATTTTGTTTTTTAATGTCTAAAATAGTATCTTCAAACATAAGCAGAAAAGTCTCCTGGAAAAAAACACTTTGAGGCAGCATTCTGCAAAAGAGCAAAACCTCAGACAGTAGGTTACAGGAGAAAGGCCCTAAAGATAAACCACGGAGCAGGAACTTACTTCTGGGTTACGTACAAATCCCTTTTCCACTCTATACCACAGAGGTGTCCATACATGTTGCTGTCCTGTCTCATGGAAAGCATGAAATGAGGGCCATGAAGTGCTCTGAGCTAGAGGGAGACTCATTCATTTAATCCTCACAACCACCCTAAGAGGTAGCGATAATTGGTAAATATTTATTTAGCACTTACTATGTGCAGGCACTGTATATATGCTAAATAAATCAGTCCTTTCAAAAACTCTGGGTGGACACTGTTGTCAACTCTCTTTAATAATGAGGAAAGTGAGACATGGGGAGATTAAGTAGTTTGCCCAAACTAAAATTAAATGATGTCAGTCTGTATTACAGAACAGAGATCTGTCGGGAGTGTCTGCATGTAATATTTCTAACAACACCTACCAATTATTGAGAGCTAAGCATTTTACAATTTCTCATTTAGTTATTCCAACAACCCTGTGGAGTACCTTTTCTTATCCTCATTTTACAGATAAGGAAACCTGAAAGTTGTGTTCACATCACTGCATGTTCCAACTGCTTTGCTGCTTGTGTACACAGCCATTTCAGAAATTCCTGGAGCAGTCGATCATGACTTTCAGCTCTTAGAAACCCACTGTGGATCATTCTGGCCCCAGAAATGTGGGGGCTCCTGCTTACATGTTCTCTTGAAAGTTCCGGAGAACATAGAATCAAAGAAGGCACTTTAAGGTACACGATCTCCCACTGTCCTCAGCTTTCTCTGCTCCTGACCGATGAGAAGGAGCTCTTCTGCAGGCCACCGTGCCAGGGTGTAAGAATAGAAAGCAATAGGAAAAATGGGAATCAGTGACGTACAACAGGTGCCTTACACATACTGCCCGACGCCTAACCTCTGGCATCCACACCTAACATTCTTGGAGTTTTCAAGCACAGTTCACAAATAAGGAGGCCGAGGCCACCACAGAAGAATTACTGGAAATATAAGCACACGAGTGACTTTTAATATTGAAATACTTTATGAAATGATATGGAAAATTACTGTATCGGCTGTGTCTCATTAGTCACCGCTTTAAAAGCTTTCAACAACAAGTCTGCTGCTAGTCCTGGGGAGAGGGCCCCGCTGAGAACCTTCCTTTCCAGGAGAGGAATCTGGCCCCGGACAGTGGGGTGGGTCCTGAAATGTTCTAGCACACTCTCCTGAATGAGGTTCCACATCCAGATTTTCTGCTGCTTCTGCCGTCTGGCCATCAGCTCGCCGCTGGCCAGCATGAGGTCTCGGAATTCTCTCATTTTATCCCACATCTCAGTGATGCCCTCTCCACTTCTGGAAGAAATACGAACTACCTATTGAAAAGGGAAAAACCAGAACCATGTCACTTAAAATGATAGAACACACTTTCATGGGGACTCCAATACTTGCCAATTCATTCTTACAGTCTAAGGAAACAGGCAGTGGCAAAAATGAGACATTTTATTGCTGTGTCAAAGTTAATATACTGGGAACTAACACCAAGGTAACTTACTAGCATTCCTAAGTGCACAGCAGAAATGAATTACTGTTCAAGGTCAAATTTTCTAGCCCAGAGATTTGGATTTAGGATTGCTTAGATGGTCTTCAGTGGCATCCTGGAGGAACTGTGAGAGGATCACAAGATAGAAGGCCTTGCTAGGGAGGTAGGTTTCTGTGAGGCCTGAGTGCCAGAAAATGAAACCCAGTTGAACAGCGCTGTCGAAGCTGCCTGATTCAGCAAGTGCTGAGAGCCGAACATCCAGCGCCTGCATGTACAAGACGGCTCTGGACTCAACACACGCGACTGGGGGAGCCTGGGAGCTAAAGGTAAGCTATGTCATCCCTGTTCTCATTACAGTGATTATAGCTTAGTCTTTTTTTTTCAATCCTCACCCAAGGGTATGTTTTTATTGGTTTTTAGGGAGAAGGAAGGGGGAGAAAGAAAGACAGACAGACAGACATCGACATGAGAAACATTGATTGGTTGCCTCCTGTACATGACCCAAGTGGGGACTGAACCACAACCTAGGTATGTGCTCTGACCAGGAATTGAACCCATAACCTTTTGGTGGGTGGGATGACGCTCCAACCCACTGAGCCAACTAGCCAGGGCGAGCTTAGTCTTTAGAAATACATCAATATTACTGCATCACTTGTAATAGGATTTTTCTTTTTCTTTTCCCTTACTGAAAACAGCACCTAACAAGCATAATGGGAAGTTACCACTTTTCTCTCTTACTCAAACTCTAGTATAGGTAATAATCAAATCATTCACTGCTCAATAATCTTAAGGATGGTTCCTTTAAAAATGGATCTGTTATCACTTCCAAATGGCTCAAGTTAAGCATTAAGCAATCTAATTTATCACCTCACATCTAGTTTTTGGCCTCTAGTGGTTGAAGGATTATATTTAAAATCAGGACTACATACTCTGGCTTTGTCATAATTTTTAAAATTGTAATCTCGTATACAAGCAAAGACTGATAATGTCTCGCTGGGGACTTCTATCCTCTGATACGCCCAGTGTACTCAGGGTGAGAAATGCTGAACAGAAGGCAGGCCCACCTTTGGTCTCCAGACTTTTGAGCGCTTGCGGAGTAACTTCAGCGCACTCACATACTCTGCTTGTATCCTCCGAGCTGGCACAACCAAGTCTCCATCAGATTTAGTTATAGCTACCAGATCTGCCATCTCAATTATACCCCTTTTGATACCCTAAAGAGAAAAAAAGAAGAAAGTGATTTATCAGAAACATTTAATTAAATTACAGCAAACAAATGGGACACCAGTGAATGCTATGGTTTTGAAAGTCTTACACTTCATTAACTAATGCTTTCTCTGCATCTTTCCAAGCCCTGGGTACCAGAAATCACAATTACTCGACAGAAATTACTCAAAAGCATCACCTCTTGGGCTATGAAAGTCATCTGTAACATCTCTTCTAAATTTAGAGCCTAATATGCTGAAATACATTCAGAATTAGAGTAAATATATCATCAAGACACATAATTGAGTGGCAGGAGACAGTCACATTGTCTCATGATGGATTCTGCTTCTCACGAGCTAACAATGCAAGATGCAAAACCACCATCACTGAGGTGCCTGACAGAAAACACCTGTCACAACAACTGCATTTCCAGAAACAATGTCTTTGAAATTTTCCTTAAATGTATACAGCGCTTTTCCTGTGGGTTTTTTCCAACTTGCTGCTGAGGAAAAATAACCTGATGGCTAAAAATGCCTTAATCTCTTGATTTAAATTACGTGGCATAGAAACACCAGAAATCCCAAGGCCAGACCTTATTTGGAAAGTGTAGATTTTTCCAACTAAGATTAAGATTTCTTTTCAGATAGTTCTAAAAGTAATTTTCAATGATTAAACTCAAACAGTTAATGTTTCTAAATTGCACCATCCATAGTATGCTGTCACTGCTTTTTTAGAATTATACAATTGGAAAGGAGGTATTGTATAATAAAATTTGTCTGTTCTTTGTCCAAGGCTCCTGAGAAGTAATCTCTACCCTTTGGAATTTCCTGAGCGATAAGAGTGTCGTCTTTGTTACTCACCATGGGTGCCTAGACTATACCTGAATTCAGAATGGGAGTTGACCACACCACAAAGACCAACCATGTGATTAGAGGGTTGGAACCTTAAGCCTGACCTCTGGGGAAGGATGGGGTGGGGGTGGCGGTGGGGGCTGAGTTCAATCACATGGACAATGATTCAGTGAATCACGTCTGTATAAAGAAACCCCAATAAAAACTCCAGACACTGACGCTCAGGTGAACTCCCTGGTAGGTGATACACATCAAGGTGCCAGGAGGGAATGTGTTCTGAGGACAGAGAAGCTCCAGGTCTGGGACCCTTCTAGGTCCAGACCACTCCCTATGTGTCTCTTCTTTTGGCTGGTCCTGGTCTGTGTCATAATAAAACTAGTACTGAAATACAGTGCTTTACTGAGTTCTGTGAGTCATTCTAGTTAACCATCAAACCTGGGGGAACCCCCACATTTGTGGCCACGTGGTCAGAGCTGTGGGTGGCCTGGGAACCCCCCAAGCCTGCTGCTGGTGTCCGGAGTAAGGGGTCTTGTGGAGGACAGTGCCTTCCACCTGGGGAGGCTGTTAACTCCAGGTAGTCAACGCTGGATTTGCATTGCAGGAGGCAAGCAAGAATCCTATTTACAATACCTAAACTATGACAGTGGGAGTCCCGCTAAACACAAAGCGGTGTCTTATGAGGAACTTCGGAACCAACTGTACAAACAACATGTGACAGTGGTCCCTTCCTGCCGGAGCTGCACATGTCCTCCACCACTACCACGTTACAAGGGGAGAATCTAAGTTGTCTCGTTAGCTCAAGGTCATAAATCCTACTACTCTAGTTGGGAAAAACATACAGAATCTGCCTCTGACAGGAATTTCAGCAAATGTGGATGCTGCTGTCTCTTCCCTATGCTAATATCAACTTAATTTACAAAAACACATTTGAAACTTGTTCTTTCAGAGAGGTATACTTAGTGTTTTGGGGAGGAAAAAGTCAAAACAGTTACCTGCAATTCATCTCCTCCTGCTGGTGGCAGTAGTACAATAAACATGTCCACCATATCAGCCACAGCAAACTCCGACTGACCCACACCTGAAATTTTAAATCACAACTATACACTAAAATGTTCACAGTAATTTGACTTGCTCAAATACACTGACCATCACTTTTGTTCCACTTCACTCATTCCATCAGCCACGCAACCCAATCCCACTTTAAACACCCACCGCCGAAGGATTTATTAAGCGTCTTACCCTCCGAGCAAACCTGTCATCCTTCCCGTCTCTCCTGCCTTCTTTGCGTTAGTCTTAGTCTTTGAATGAATGGGGAACCTCGAGGCCTGCACTCTCCTCACTCCTGCAGCTCGTTCTCGGCTTCCCCTTCATCAGTGAGCAGCGTGAGCACTGTGATTCTCATTTTGGACTGTGCCTGTCAGTACTTTCAGCTTTCCTGCCTTCTCTTTCTTCCACACCAGCCCTGCGAACCCCACCCGTGGGTCAGTGCAGTGATCTGAGTTCTGGCCTCAATATACACGTCGGACAAATTGCTCAAGTGCGGATCTAAGGCACCACTATAGGGTTATAGGCTCCAATGTCTCCTGCAAATTCCTCACAGCCAGTAGAAAAAATGCCACTAAAGGCCCTCAGTCAGCTCCTTCCCATTTCTCACAGTGGCCATACAGACACTCACTGTCCCATAAGCTCTCCAAATGATGATGACCCTGGCACCTACTTCACAGCGAAATAACAGCAAGAATTTCCTTAGCTCCTCCCTCTCCCACTCCACAAGCAAGCAGACACAGGTACAAGCTCTGCCTTCCTGCCTCCTCTCCAGTCCCAGTTACTAGCACTGGCTGAAGATGACCCTCTTTCCTGTCCTCCTTTGGGCCACGCTCTGCTTTAGTCTCTAACCTTGCCTGTGTCTAAAGGCTCTAGTCCCTAAAACATCCTGTGAATTGTACTCAAGTCTTTCTCATCTGGAAAAAAACAACAAACAAACAAGAAAAAAACCACCAAAACTCACAACCTCCCCCAATTATCACCAGATTTCCCTCTTTCTCTTTATAGCTAAGCTTCTAGAAAGAAGCAATACATGCTCATTGTCTTCATTCGACTACTTCACATTAATCTCAATCCACTTACATCTGACTTCCACATCCCCTGCTCCACTGAAACCCTTCTCCTAACTCTGTCCTTCCTGGGTGTGGCAGAGACTTCTAGCTGCCCATTCAGTAGTTAGTCTTCCTACCCTGACCCCAGTGTGACTAGGAGCACCAACCAAGGCACCAGGTGAAAGACCGTATTCGCCAGACCCCCTTTCAGCTACAGATGATTAACAAGTGAAAGCAAGTCATTAGATGGGGTTTCCTGGAAAGGTGTTTGCTTTAAAGGCTAACCCAGCCAGGAGTACACTCTTCTGCCTGCCCTTTCTCCCTTCCTTCCTCCTACCTGGAACATGGATGGGACAGCTAGCACTTCATCAGCCATCTTTTAACCATGAACAACCTCGGGAACTAAGTGCTAAGAATAGTCAGCAGAGAGACAGAAGCCTGGGCACTGAGGGCACGGTAGAACCGCCACGCCAGGTCGGGACGCCTGTCTCCACGCATCTTTTATTTACAAAAAAATAAACCTCTTTCTCACTTGAATCAGTTACTTTGAGTCTCTGGGACAAGCAGCCAAAGGCAACTTCTTTGTTACACACTTGGGTTTTATGGCCCTCTTCTCCCTGGAGCCTCCTGTTACCACGAGGGCAACTTTCCCTATATCAGCCTCAGATGGCAGAGTTTCCAGCCTCCCACCCCATCTCCTTTCACACCCAGCCTTCCCACTCGCTGCTCTGAGCATCCTGAGCACACTTCCGTTCTCTGAATGGGCCATGTCCCCTCACTCCTCTGTGTCTTTGCAAATGCCCTCTAGCCCATACTTTATATAACTCCAATACTTCCCTCAAAATGGATTTCAACTGTCACCTCTTCCTGGAAGTCTTCCTTGATATGCCAAATCTGAGTTAGGTTGTGTCACAAACATTTGTCATACAGTAACATAATAGATTGTCACTCTACAAGAATATGAATTTCTTGGGTTTCCATTTCGGTATTTTCATCACATGTAATTATGCAATAGGGATATAAAAATGAAATAACCATGGCCCTATATTCAAGAGGCACCCAACTGCATTAATTTTTCTTAGCGAACACTGCACACATCTGAAATGTACTTCAACAAAATAGGTGTCATGTTAAAGTACTGTTTCTCTAAGTCATCCTGGCCCTTACAGGTCCCTGGCACTTATGACCTATCACCTGTGTAACAGTTACCCAGATACAGGCTTATTTTTCTTCTAAGGGCAGGATTATAGCCTATATATAGTTATACCTCCTTCAGAGTCTGAGATATCTTGTATTTAATTATGCCTTTGGTAAATATCTGCTGAATGAACAAACGAAATCAATTGTCACTCATCTTTATACAGAGTTCAATTGAAGAGTATTTTGTTAGGAAGCAGAAAATCACACTCACCTACAGTTTCAATAAGAATGATGTCATATCCCCCTCCTTCACACAACAGAATAGCTTCATTTGTGGTCCTTGTCACACCTCCTAAAGTTCCTCTAGTGGGAGACGGCCTGATGTACGCATTCATATCTCTTGATAACTCAGTCATTCGGGTTTTATCCCCCAAGAGTGATCCTAAAACACAGTTACATTTTATAATCATGGCACACCTATCAGGGCTAATTATCAATGAGCTAGTTCCTAGGGGACGTGTTTTATGACATTTCTCCCCAAATCTCAAATGGTATTTCATATTATTGAGCTTTTATCCCACCCAGTGTACACAATGATGCCAAATTAATCTTTTTAGCATTTCAAACCCCTTAAAACCTACAATGGCTTCCCACTGACTAGAGGTCCAAATCTAGATTCTTCAGTCCTACCTCATCTGTCCAATTTCAGCTCCCACTAGTCCCCAAACCAGTCTTGCGTTCCAGCCAGGGTGGTGTCTTTACTATCATCTTAACATTATTGTGTTTCTGCTTCTCAACTGGCAGTGATTTTGTCCCAGAGGGAATTTGATGATATCTAGAGATATTTTCACTAGTCACATCTGGGGGATGGATGCTAGTGGCATCTGGTGGGTAGATGCCAGGACATTGCTAAGCATCCTTCAATGTGCAGGACAGCTGCTGACAACAGGAATGTTGTCAGTGCCAAGGTGGAGAAGCCCTGCTCTAACATGAGCTCCTTGCCCACAGGACCGTGTCATACATATTTTGAACACTCAATGCTTATTCGCAGTAGAAAGTTAATTTAATACCTATGGAGATGTTTTAGGGTTTACTGCAGTATTTTGGCAAATGTCAATATTTGCAAATTCTGGAGGACTGAAAGCCCTGGAACTACTGAAATCACTCTGAATGTCTTTCCTTTAGCCACATGTTAACATTTGAGAGTGTAGCACTGTTCTAACCTGAATTTTAACTGTCACTCTGCCTCAGAGCTAACTTTCCCATGTGAAGTTGATGCTAAACACTGAGGAGATCCTTAAAGACATGATCTTTTCCCTCATGGTCCCAGAGTAGAGTTCTCACAGGTTCTAATTCTGGAGCACAGACCCACCACATATCTTAGCTACCTTATTTACTGAACATGAAACTTCTTCTAAAGTAATTTTCTGCATGAAATCCTCCCCATGTAAGTCAACAGTCTGCCAAAGTTATGCTTGAAGTTATTATCCTATAGATCCTAACACGCTGAACTCCACATTATGAAGTTACTCTCCCATGTAATTGTCTTTGCAAGTGAATCCAAAACCACTGGGTGCAGGCCCTTAGGGAGGGTCTCAGAGCTACTGCAGGGGTCTGTGAATGCAAAGCACAGGTTTACCTCTCAAACCTTAATGCAATGTTATTTTCAAATGTATGCACTGTTGCAGTAATAAGAGAGAAATCTATACTTATAGTGTCCTGTTTATCCTTGTGTATTTTTTTCTTTCGAAGTTTATCTTTTGTTTTACCTGGGAAAGGGACCCCCATTTTCCATTTGAGAAAGGTCAGGATCCACATAGCTCTACACAACTTGAATCAGACTATCTTATGTCACCATTTCTGCTATTACTACCTCAAGCTATTATTTTCTTTTGCTATTGCAAGTATTCTAGAATATTATCAAGGTGGGGGGAAAAAACCTTCTCACCTCTATGGAAATGAGGTACGTACCTTTAACAAAGTTCTTAGACTATAAACAAGACATTACATTGTTATGAATTTAATCCTGAACCTTATGAATATAAATTTTGTTTTACAGTCAGCCTTTTATTATAGTGAATCAAAAACTGTGAATGTTCTCAGCCAAATCTCTCAATGGGTGGTAATAGGAATTGCTGTCAACCTCTCTATTAACCTAAAGCCCCAGAAATATTATTATACCATCTTTCCTTTTTAGTCTTAAACCCACAGTATACAAAGCAAACACTTCCCCAAAGCACGCTGTACTTCCCCCTACACAACACACATTATTACACTGTAATGGCTGTGTTTCCTGCATATGATATAAAGCTCCATAAGGCCAGGAGGACTGTGTCTTATTCACCGTTAGACAATATGGCACTTCCTGGCACAATGCCTCACCTATAGTAGGCACTGAAATACTGGCTCAATGGATAACTGTAATGTGAGAACTTAAATCATAAAGAGAGGTAAGCGAAGAAAAACCTTTCCTATTTGTATGGACTACTTTATGTTTTCCTTAAATGATCCTTTGGGGAACTATGTTTATTCATTTTATCCCTGATGAGCTGCAAATTAAACTGAGTGACTGCGTGACCTCAAATCAGTAAGTAATTGCTGAGCACAGCATGCAATGTACTATGCTAAGTGCTGTAGGGGGAACAGCGGTATATTACATGGGCCCTCTAAGAGCTTTCTGTTCTACTGAACAGGTAATGTAAACAGGTGACAAGTTATAAACTTATAAGGTCTTTTTACTTAAGCTTAAGAGAAGAGATGTTACAACAATAAGAGGAAAATAACAAATGAGTAAGGAAGGACCCATGTTCTGAACTGTGCAGGGGCTGATGCAGCCAGGAAAACAGGAGGGAGGAGTGACCTAGCCTCAGGCATAACAGACAAAGGGCTGAAATTTGCTTTTAATTACCTTCAACTTCTGGCAATGTTCTTCTAGTTCTCTAAGTACCCAGGTCACTTCTGGGTTGACCCTGTCTACAGAACCCAATGCCCCAAACTACCTCTCTCAGCCTCCACCTGGCCCCCAGAACTCCCTTTCTTCAGTGAAACTAAACTCAGTTACAGGCTAGAAGTCACCTGACTGTGCCAATTCCCACGAAATTGTAACAGGGAGCCCCTCAAGCCCCTGCTCTGCAATTGAAGAATCAGCAGTACTCACCACCACTGGTACAAGAAGAAGGGTCCACAGCCAGCACAGACAACTTGTGCCCTCTCTCAGTAAGCATCTTTCCAAAATATTCTATGAAGGTTGATTTTCCAGCACCAGGGGGCCCAGACAATCCTACAGTGAAAGAGATCTTCTCATTTAATGAAATAAATGATGAGTTCTATTAAAATATTAGACTTCCTTCTGTTTCTCCTAATTTATTAAAACCCTCATTATTGTATTTTAACATTTCCGAAAGCAGTAAACGAAAATCTGTTTATATAGTTCCTGAGTAATAGAGACATAGGAAGGAAACCATTCTGAGTTCCGTGTGCTCACCAAATTCACTTTTTAAAATTATGAAATGTGATTTCCCTTTTTTACGATAATGTAGACCCTTGGGACAGACTTCATTGCCTATGTTGTTAATGTGCCGAATTTCTACAACACCTGCCCACCTCTCATCGTCATCAGTAGTTGTTCCACTTACCCCAATTCTGTATACTTTATCTTCCCATTGGAAAAAAATAACTCATTACTCTAGAAATTGCTAGTGATTGAGGAAATAATTTTCTATTTATAATTTTTTTTTTTCATCTCACCCATAATTCCAAGAATATAAACTGAATCCTGAAAAAAAAATAATTTGTCTTAAGAAAGGCAGAGGGTACTATGTTAAGTGAAATAAGTCAGGCAGAGAAAGACAAACACTGTATGGTTTCACTTATATGTGGAATCTAAAAAAAGGCACGACAAAAAAAAAAATACACTCATAGAAACAGAGATCAAAGGGATGGCTACCAGAGGGGAGGGAATGGGGGAATAAGTGAAAAGGGGAAGGGGAATATACTCAATAACATTGTGATAAGTTTACACAGTGACAGATGATTGCTAGAATTAGTGGAGTGATCAAACTGTAAGGTATAAAATGTCAAATCACTATATTGGACATCTGAAAGTAATATAACCACTATAAGGTTGTAAAGCAACTATAAATACATTTACTGAATTACTGAATAAAAGGGAGGGAGGGAGGGAAGGAAGGAAGGAAGGAAATTCCCCTACTTAGAGAATGAGCAGAGCATGTCAGATAAGAGCACAAACTCGTGCTCAGCCAATTCTATTTCTAGTTCTGCCTTTGATGAGCTGTGTAATCTTGGGTAAGTTACTTAACCCTTCTGTACCTGAATATATGGCTGCAATAAAATGGATATAATAGCATCTATCTCTACAGGCTGTTATAAGGATTAGATGAGTTAATACTGATTGGCAATATGTTTAGAAAAACTCATGGCATAAAGTAAAATATATATAGATGGATGTTCAATAAAGTATATAACACATAAGCATGTAACTGTAACTATATTCAAAAGTACGTGTGGCATAAATAGTATGCTTGGTTCAGGGAAGGTCTCTGTCTCAATTCTCTCTATGAGTGCTCAATAAACATTTGTTGCTTTTATTTATAATGGGAATAAAATATAAAACCTGTGCAATAAAGACACAGGTTTATTGGGCCTCGTAAGAGAAGATGGAAGAACCAGAAAAGCACTGCAAAAAAGTGAGTTGCTAGTCACGTGTGGGTTACTGGTTAACTCCACATATTTCTGGGACATTTTTTCTTCAAAGATTCTCTAACGCCTAAGAGGTAACTACTTTGTCATCACTAAAATCTCTTTGGGAGTGTGCTAGTTTGTTTGCATAAAAATCACTACACCCCATATAGGGCTCTCAAAGAGCGAGTTCCCTCAGGGAGGGCAGAAGAATGAAATGTGTGAAAACAAAGGGTTGGTAAGCTTTTATAAAATTATCCTTAAAGCACTTATGCCCCGTTGCCCTAGAAGTAAAAGGTTTTACTCCCCACATCACCAATAAACTACAATATAAAAGGCTAATGGAACACCGGTCCATTTTTAAGTGTCTTTGCTCATTCCTCACAAAATTCCTGCACTTTGCCCACCGCCTCAAGGTGCGTTTCGTCAGAGGGTGGGCTAGCATCTAGTCTGCCACCATGAATAGCTCTCATGCCACCCAAAACCGACTTGCTTAATTCCTGATGGTCAAACATATCTATATTGTTTTAAAAAATGCATAATTTCAAAAATATAACAAGCTTATATGCAATTACAGAAACAAGTCAATTGTTCAAGAAGTCAAGTGAACATTCAATATTTTTAGACGGCCAATGAATATAGTCTCTCCTTTAAAATACATTTTGGTAATGAGATGGCTGCGTTCACAGCCAAACCACTCCCAGAAACTCTAACAAAAGTATCTGAGAAGTGAGACTTGTCTATAGAAAGACTAATGAAACACCCAAGAAGTAGAATTTAAAATGTGACAAGGACAATTATAGTTGATATAACCACAAAAACTGGGCATGCATTCTAGACTGATAAGCGAAGGACCACCGAGGGAAAGGGATAAACTTGTTAAGATTCTTACTCAGACTTCTCTCCGGGACCCATGGCAAGATTCTTGCCAACAGAAACCTTATATTCTTCTTTTGTTTTTTTTTTTTTTGAGGGAGAGGAGAGAGATAAAGGGAGGGAAAGAAACAGATATGAGAAACATTGATCAGTTACCTCCCAAACGTGCCTGATCAGGGATGGAACCCACAACCTAGACATGTGCCCTAACTGGGAATTGATCCCACAACCTTTCAGATTAGGGGACAACGCTCCAACCACCTGAGCTACCTGTCCAGGGCCTTATGTTGTTCTTTTAAAATACAGCATCTTGGTTCAAATGGTCAGGCATCTTTTTTCAACATACCAAGACTAATATTTACAGTGAAAAAGTATTTCAAGTTCCTAACAAAATTCTGAAAAGAACAAAAATCCCCATTGGAGTGAAAACTATTTAGACTTTTTTTTTTAAAAAAAGAGAATGTGCCCAGTCGGCGTGGCTCAGTGGTTGAGTGTTGACCTATGAACCAGGAGATTACGGTTCGATTCCCAGTCAGGGTACATGCCTGGGTTGCGGGCTCAATCCCCAGGAGGAGGCGTGCCGGAGGCAGCCGATCAATGATTCGCTCATCATTGATGTTTCTGTCTCTCTCTCCCCCTCTCTGAAATCAATTAAAACATATTTTAAAATAAATAGAGAATTTAGAAAAATATTTCCTGGACAGACTTAAAAAAGAAAAAAGACTGACCCACTCGAAATGCCCGTGGCTTTCCTTCATTTAATTGTTCTTGTTCTCTGTGGTAGCCCAGTACTTTCTGAAGAAGCACCTGAGCTAATTCTTTTTTCCTGTGGTGAGTTGATTCTATAAGAGTTATGGCCTCTGCTAAGCAGGCCCTTTGCCCTTGGATTAATCCAGTATAAAGTTTATCCACGAATCTTTGTTCTTTATCAGAAAGTCCTTCTGTATGTTCCTTTAAGCTTGTCTGTACACATAACTGTCTCTTTAAACCATTTGACAGCACCATCCACTTTGTACAATGGAGTCCAAGAGACTCGAATGGCCGAGCACATGGGCTTCCTGATCCGAGATGAGTACTTGAGTGCAAGATGAAGTGGTAACGTGGGAAAGGTGTTCTCAAGAGGCCTTTTAGGAAATGCCGGTGAGGATGCAGCAGTACCGGAATATTCATTTTGTTTGTAGCTGAAGAAAACACTGGACGGTTTTTGGCTCAATGTGATCTGTAACTCCCTAAAAGAAAGGAAAACACATTTTTGCCAATTCAATACACAGCTAAGACACTGAAATAGTAAAATGACAAGCTTTAGTGTTTTCCCTATTTTCTACAACACAAACAATCAGGGTTCCTGGTAGTACAAACGGGTGAAAGTTTCTTACCAAACTTAAGAGAGAAGACCCCTCTTTGCCTACAGTTAATATTCAGAACAACCCAAACCATGGAACTATTATTGCTCTTCGGTGAAGGGAAATGCACATACATATTTTCTCTTAAACAGAAAACAAATTCACACACACAAAAAACCATTAGGGTAGAAATTCTATGCCATGCTTATTTTCTCCTGTCTATAGACCTTATATTCATGTTAACAATTTTCTCAGATGAAGCATACCCTATTCTGAAGCTCATTCAAAATGTTTAAAAAAAAATCCCTCTGATACTGGCCTTTTATTCATTCTCTACACAAGATGTGTGATCAGTAGTGCAAGCACTTGAGGCATAAGTTTAGATACATATGCATTCAACAGACTGACCCTGGAACACAGATAAATGCAAAGGATAGCCTAACATAGGCACACAAACAACAACAAGCCTTCATGTGAAATGAGCTGAGGACTGTATTCCAGCTAGATCAGTGTATCTCAAAGTATGGTCAGAACCACCTGAGTGCTTACTAAAAATGCACGTTCTCAGCCCCACAAATCAGAATCTCTGCAGGCAAGCACACTAATGTTGGAACCACTACGGAACTTGTTGAGAATTCTTTACGCTGGGAGTCAGGAAAGTACAGAGGTTATGAGTCTTTGTGACTCTGAGTCTCTGCCACTTGAGCTACAATGACCTTGGGCATCTGTGCCTCAACTTCCTCTTAAGAGGAGAATAGGAGAATAGGATGACTGTGAGAACAAAATAAGTTCATGTAAAAAGTTTGGAACAGTGCTTAGCACAAAGTAAGAGCTCAATAAATGTTAGATTTTATTATTACTATACCAATTTATAAGATTAGGTCACAGACCTAGTTTCTAGTGGCAAACAAAAATTTACAAATGATACACATGGCCTACCAAGTTTGGGTTTATAATTATTTGAAAATTATTTGAGATACTTGTGCCAAGTACCTCATGGCACAATAAAATAAATTACTTTATTGCTCCAAAGTACCTCTCTAAATTGTATGTTGAGGCCAAACAACATAAAATTAACTCTAGCTAAGAAACATTCTATTAGAAAAAAAAGAAATGTTTTAAGTTTATTAGAACAAAAACTGCTCATCATTTTTCTGTTTTGGGTGGGAGGGAGAATTAATGACTTCTGTTTGTACAAAATCAGTCTTATTCTAAAAGGATAATGTATAAATAATGTGTAAAAATGTTTCTAAAAAACAATTTTTAAACATCCATTACTATAGCTGACATTCAGAGACATTTAAAACAAACAGAACACGGTTGCTATGTTTTTTAAAAAAACTCTAAGATAAAATTTAGAATTTTTATAATTTTAATGAAAAATATCTAATAACTATTCATAATTCAATTTTTACCTTTGCCATCACCTATATAACTTGCTTCATTCTGCACTTCATTATACGAGAATCAAACTTGATGAGTCTCTAATTTAACCAGTTACTGTGACCGTCAGTATTATAATCAGTGTATATTTATTACATTTTCTAAATTAGATATAAAATTAGCCTATATACCCAAAAACCTAGTAAAAACTACATGCAAGGTGGAAAAAGTGATAATCATGTTTTAGCTATGCTTCTACACATAGAGCTTTTTATCAGAATCATCATCTTAATGGCTAGTAACCATTTTAAAGCATGGTAGATTTTTTTCTTTAATATGCCAAAATAAAAATTCAGTGTCTAGAATGCATATCTTCCACTTTTTTGCCTGACAAACTCCTACTTAGTTCAAATATCATCTTCCTCTTTTAAGGCACATCTTCCCCCACCTTACCCAGGCAGTCAGATGTTCTGTCTTCAATGCTCCAAAGCCTTTATTCACATCTCAGGTTATTTGTCCTCTTATGTTCCAATTTATCTATTTATAGGCTCTCCCACCAAGTCTTATCCCTCATTCCAGCTGACAGTCCTCCCAGAGAAAGGACAGTATTTATTCTTGATTTCCTCAGAATCTAGCACAATGCTGGTATATGGTAGCCTGTTAAAAATTTATGTTAAAGGTTCATAAATGGATACATTATCTACTTTATGTTGATCTACTATACTATAAAGAAAAGTTTGGGTAATCATTTTAACCTGCCTGAGAAGCCTAAAACATTCTACCAAGTTCCCTGTTTTGAATCAAGGTAACTTTGACATCCATCTAATTTTCCAAAACAGGATGATAAGTTTGTAAGGAACCAAAACCCAGTAACAAGATGAAAATACACCCACTTATAATAACGCAAGCAAATAACATTCCCTATATAAATGAGAGAAATAAAAATCATCTAATGAATAGTATATAGATTGCTCTAACATTTAAAATAGTGATTTCTTACAATTTAATTGCAATCTTTCTCAGAAAAATCCATGTCAACCATCTGATAAGTTTATGGTTTACACTGCAGGGTTTATCACAGTTTGCGATTGTGAAATTCTCTGCCCTTTGATGCCAATGCAAATCTTAAAAGGTCTTCAAGTGAAAAGAAAGACAAAGGAAAAAGATGATACCATTTTTTTTTTTTTTAAGTTTAATATTACAGTCCTAAAAATATGGAATGCTTCATGAATTTGCATGTTATGCGCAGGCGCCATGCTAATCTTCTCTGAGGATGATACCATTTTACTCCATTTTTTTTTTTGCCAAAACCAAAAAGCTATCCAGTGTACATAATTATAGGTTTTTACACCTTTGAATCTCCCCTCAGGGGCTGATTTTCTTGGTGCCCACAGACCCTGGGGACCATATGAATGGCAGAGCAGCAACTGCTAGCTTTTACTAGCTTTTATTGAATGTTTATTATGTGTGAGACATTGTGCACGCATTTCCTCAGCTAAGCCTCCCAACACAGATGAGATTCCATTTTATAGGGGGGGCTCAGGAAGGTCACACTGACTGACCAAGGCCTCTCAACTAGTGGAAGAACTTGGGAAAAGCTATGGGTTTCATCTCTAGATTACTGTATAAAACGAGGAGAGGTGTCACATCACATCAAAGGAAAACCAAATAACCCTTTACATTTAAATATGGAATGACTATGGCAGGCTATTTATCTTCATTTTCTTTACCTTTACCTTTTTTTTTCCTCCCTCCCTCCC